TGCTTAGTCAGCAAATTAAAAAGTAGACAAAGAGATATATAGACTATTAGAAACGAGGAGGGCATTGTACGTGAAAATGAATGCATGTTTTGAAATGTTTTATAAAAAATACATCAATAACATAAATTGTTTCAAAATGATTTTTTAATATGATTACCTCGATTTACTAATCATTTTAAAATGAAACTTGACAGAAGTAAATAAAACAGAAGTATTGATGGCAATTGAGAAAGTATCAACAGGAAAGTTGTCTGTCCCACACTGTTATCCTATGGCTTTTTTTAAAGACTTTTAGGATTAAATGATCAACCCTTATACTTATATGTTTGTGGATTCCTTGCAGAAGGGACAGTTACCACATACACTAGAAATAGTTATAATATTTTTTTTTTAAACCAGGAAAAGACAAAGAGTAATGTGGGTCTTACAGACCATTGTCTCTTCTAAATGTAGATTTTAAAATTTATTCAAAATGGCTTGCTTTAAGATGGGTGTACTAATACTGATATATACTATACTAATACTGATCCATGATGACCAAACTATGTTAATTTAGCAGAGACATTGAAAGGCTCCTGCATGTGATAGAAAATTCAGAAAATAATGCAAGTCCACAATATTTGTCAGCGATGGACATAGAAAAGGCCTTTGATATTATTTAATGGATTTTTTTTTATTTCAAACATTAAATGAGATAAATTTTGAAGATATTTTTTCAATTTCATTAGAACTCTGTACAAATCACCTAAAGCACACTTACTGTACATACTAATGATAATGTATCAAAGCCTTTTACAGTGGGAAGAGGCACAAGGCAGGAATGGCCATTCTCTCCACTTGTATTCACTTTGGTCATTGAACCTTTAGATGTTGCAATATTAACTAACAGATATATTACAGGAGTTCATGTTGGGAAAGTGGAATTCGAATTGTCCCTATATGTTTTATTGTTATATATAAGTAGCCCAGATAGATTCCTATCAATACTCTTTCAGATCTTAAAATTATTAAATTCCAATAGGGCTTGTCTAAGTCTATAGCACACAACTTTAAACACTGGGATTCAGTTCTAAAACGCAAACTGCTCTTAAGTAGTTAATGGCTTTCAAAGTTAATTTTTATATTTACCCCTCTTACCTTACATAAGTGAATTATAACACATGTCTGAAGTTGCTCCTGAAATAACCCAACCATGGAGGAACAGCGGGGTTTCTCAGAGTAGGTTTATAATAACACAAGTGGATTCTTAAAGAAATCATACCTGCCCACAGGCCCAGCCAAAGCACACACTGTGGCCTTAGAGTATGAAGAGTAGACTGCTCTTGTCGACACCTCTTTTCTTTTCTGGCCTGTTCTGCCACTTCTCTCTAGATTTTAACCTGTAAACACTCACAGGAAATCATGGCAACAGACAAGAGCCTTTTAACACCCAATAATGGGGATGTAGGCAGTAAGCTAAACTTACCAAAATAAAGTATAACTAAATACGTGGTTGTGTAAACAAGACTGCTACAGTACTTACTTAGGGGGTCTTATTTCTCCTGGCTCATGCAACTACTGACTTGATCCATACATAAAACAGATGTCTGAGTGGGATTCATGAAAAAATACATCCATTTATGTGGTTTTTTTGTGTTACTCAAAAGAATTGTAATGTTTATATAAATTATAACAAATGAATATAAACATGCATTTGTTCATTAAATAACTAGGTTCATTGAAAAATAAACATTGGGCAAATATATAGTGTTATGAAGTGCAATTCAAAAGTAGAGACACCATGTAGAGATAAGCAAAACGAGAAAACTATTGTTTATTGTTTTTACTTTAATCTCTATCTCTAGATTTACAGATAATTTTGATTGTTACTGTAATTCTTCACTTTTCTAATGCACTACAGGCACTGATAGGATTGTGACGGTGGTCAGTGATGTCCCTGCACTGTGCACTGTAGTGTTTAGTACATACTGTACACCTATAACAGCTTATCAATTTATTATTTTATTTTCAACTTCGCTGCTACGTATGTTATACTCGATTAGGGGTCAATGGACACTCTTCAAAAGATAAAGATTGGACTTCTGATATTCTAATTTCAAATCACTTCTCAATGACTTGTATCTAGATATTTCAGTTGTCCAATTTAATTTCTCTTTTACTGCTTATATAAAACAGTGTGGAAGTCTTCAATTATGTCAGTAAAGTTCAATTTTCTTGTCAGATCACATTCAATAGACATTAAGATGAGCATTCATTCTGTCTTGTGCTATCATTGAATGATCACAGATTTTATTTGCTTCATTTTGGAGAATGACTACTCTGCTGACACATTTGCAAATGTCTAGAGGTATGGATGAAACGCTATGTCCACATTTGGAAAAGTTGACTTCAGTTGGCAAACTTTCATTTACTACAAGAGATTTATTGTGGATTTGCTTTTGTTATTTATTTAAGCAACAGAAATATTCAGACTTGTCTGGAAAAGCAGTCTTGAGATCAGTTGTGTATTTTGAAACCCAAGCTGCTTGCTACTGAATGAATCTCTGTGTGGGGCATGTAGTCAGACTTGGTCAGGAAGCCAAAATCTTTTGCTATACTCCTCCACGCCTCAAGGCGATATTGAAGGCAGACATTCAGACTGTCAAGGCTGATATTAAACTTGACTCTGAATTTTTCCAGACCTTGCTGATTTATTTTGAGTATCATTTTCACCCAGATTTGTCTTTGTATAAAGTGTGTTTCGCTGTAATACGTTTGTGCTACGGTTGCTGATTTAGTCTTTGTGCGTGTTTTCAGTTCATCAAATTGAATTCTCAGGTACTGTATGTTAAAGAAACAGACAGTGACTCCAGAAGCTGGGTAGCACAAACAGAGTTGACCTTCTCTTGTTGAATGAAGTCATAAAGGAAGCAGTTCCCCATCTCTGCCATTAATGCAGTTTTAAGGAAGTCTATCTTGGCTTGCGGGGGGTGAGGTTCTGTTCATGTCTCACCATGTTGTGTGTAATCATGACTTTATTCAGAGATTCTCATAAGTTTTTGTAATCTGAGAACACAGCCTTTAGGGACCACTCCCCCAGAATTCCTCTGGAGGGATGAGCTGCTGCTCTCAGTCACCTGTTGCAGGAAGATGATTGGCCAGGTGACTTGTTAAAAAGCAGGAAGCAGAGGCCTCTTGTGGAGTGGAGTGATGTCTGCTGTCTAAACGACAGAAGGCAGAACTACTCTGTACACTATTCACAGGACAGATAAGGAATGACTGCACACTGGAAGAAATGTGAGTTTTTGTGAAACTTTTGAACAAAGTCTTTGAGGAGATGTAAGAATTAATCATTTCAGGCTGGTATGAATTTTAACTTCTACATTATGATAGAGGGACCTCAAGAATATGTTAGTCAGTAGCTCAAAAGGACCTTAGGTATTTGTAATGGTGTTTAGTTTGTGTTTTTTGCCAATATACTGAAAATATTGATCAGAGCCTTTTCTTTGACTCACTAAAAGTTTCCTTTGGTGGAACTACTTGCATGTTTTCTACACATTTCTTTTATTGAAGCTGCTAGTTTATTGTATTTTCTAACAAGAAAGTCTGTATTGGTAGTGTTTCCTTCAGTTAAGCAACAGCAGTCCCAGAGGTTCAACTGAAAATCTGCTTAAAAGCATTTTCCAATGTTTTTTTTTTGTACACTTACAAAGTTCACTTTGGTAAATCAAGGCCTGGGATCTTCAGCACAAACTACTTTGTATACAGACTGTCTAGTCTCTTTGTTATGTTTTTGGAGCTCCATGTCCATTTAAATTATTATTTAATAAACTAATATGAGCTTGGTTAACAAGACATACAGTGACAAATGTGATATTTATACTACTAATAATAATTATATGAAGGAAAGCCATGCATTATTGCATCCTGTTTTTTAAACAGAATTATCCTGGTTAAACACACAGCTGTAATACAGTTTTGGTTCTGAATTGCATTTGCACCTACTGTGGGGAGACAATAAAAAACGCAAACAGGAAGATGATATATGTGACAGAGCTCCAACCTGGAGCCTGCAAACAGTGATTTGTGTAGGCCTAGAAAAGTAAAGACTTTGCACAAATGATTTGCATTGTCTTAGTAGCCAACTGGAAAACGAAAACAAGACTTTATTATTTGTTTATTGTAAATTTTTTGTCACCTGCAGCTTTTTATCCACATACAGTATATTAGGTGGGAAAAACCACAGACAGTCAAGGCATTAGCTGAGGAACCAGTAACCAGTAACCAGATGACCATTATTCTGTTTCCACAGCACCCTCTTGTGGTCTCCCCATCTCGTGAAAAACAATGTTGTCTTTACCCATAAATCACAATATTTGCATAAACGATTATATTTAGGAAAAAAGTGTACTTAGGGGGCATTTACGTAAGAATAATGGGTGTTTCTCATTTATTTGTATTGCTATTTTAGAAATATGGATGTAAAGGAGCAGTATGCCTTTAAGAAGCCCAGAGGTCATAAAAAGGAGTAAAAAGAGATCTGTAATAAAAGCCAGACTCATAACCCAGTATCTGTTTATTTTTGCAAAAGTTAAGAAAGAAAAAAGTTCTGTCCCTCTGCAAGAACATTTCCCCCCAAAAAAGAAAGTGCCATCTAGAATTAGCAGGAAGTTCTTGACTAAAATCCCAGGGACCGTTGTTTGCTGTTTTAAAAGTTTATTGCTTGATACAGTCCAAACAAACTACAAAACATTTGATGGTAGAGCTGTTGGTCTTGGCTTCTGATAGTGTCCGGCTTACTGGTTGGAAAAGGAGGGGGGTGCTGTGCAGGGTCATAGAAAGGCATCCGGGGTTGATATATAAAAATCACTCGATGCTCTAGCTGTCACATTCCGCTACTCACGAGGGCATAAGCACTGGTATGCTGTGACAGAACGAACCACGTGCTGGGTGAGGCAGCTGACAGTCCCGGGGAAACCGCACAGCAGCGCGCTGTCAGTAGAAAGGTGAGCAGTGCTGCATGCACACGGAGACCAGGCTAAGCGGAAAGCACGCATGCTGGGAGACAAGCCAAAGGCTGGGAGCTGGCAGGAGAACACATACTGTAGGCAGCACACACAGGTGGCACAGCCCCGCGGGAGGCTGGGAAAACAGAGCGTGGAACAGGAAAAAACAAAGTCCAGGGGCGCCGTCCAGGAACATAGCAGGTTTGTAGCAAGGCAGCAGGAACATAGGCAAACGTCTGGGGAAACAGTCCGGAATATGTGGTCAGAACCTAGTGAGAGTCAAAGTCAGGAAAACGCTGTAGCGAACCACTAAAGGAATAGTCCAGGAGAAGAGGTCAAGAACAAGGTGAGGGTTGAACACCCAAGACACAGCACAAGACTGGGAACTAGAGAACTCGGGAATTTGAGACTAGGAATACAGGTAGGCTCACAGACTAAGCAGTCTAAGCAAACCCAGTTTAAGACACCCAGCTCTCCCAGACCCTGGGCAGACTCGGTGTATTCCTTATATACTTTGCCTCACCTAGTAAGCGTGTTGATAACAATTGCTAGCAGCTGCAGCTGATTTTCTATTGGCACGCGCAATAAGAGACAGATGCATAGCTACCATGGCAAACAAAAAAAAATTAGTACTATGGAACAAGTGTATTTGGCCATGTTGTTGAAGCTGATATCTGGACTACCTTAAAAAAACAATTGAATTCAGTCCTTAAATCAATTAGCTATTGAGGCAAAAACAGGCAAGTGAAATAGGCCAAAGGGCCTCCTCTCATTGCATGGAAGGGCATCAGCTTGTGCCCACCTGAGAGATCCACAGCTGTCACTTGTTACTGCCTTGACAGGTTGCTGGGGATCCAGAGTCTATCCTGTCAAGGCAGGAGGCACAAGGCTCTTGCCCCTTGGGTGAGATGACAGTCCATTGCAGGACACACACAGAAACACTCTCACACCAGGGCCAGTTTTCCCAGAAGCCAATCTACCAGTGTGTAGTTCATAGTACTGTTGGAAGAAGCCAGAGCACCCAGCAATGCATTTCATGCATTCGGTTGCTCTGGATATTTACTACGGGACTTAAATTTCCCCATTTTCCCTGGGAAAGGAGTTTAACATTTCAGTAAATGACTAGTTCTAGTAGATCACTAAGAGCTCGGCAGGAATTAAAACCAGAAAATCCCGATAACAGCAGGATCAGAAATTGGGCAGGAGCAGCCGCAGCTGATTTGATTGTAAGTTATTCAAAGAGAAAGATACCTCCTACTTCTGAACTGTAAAAAGGAAGGAATGAACGGACCACGGACTGAAGTGCTAATGTTCTGTATAAGATTGTAAGTTATTTTAATAAATACTCCCGAATTATATACTGTGATGTAGTAAAACAATTGAAATGTATCAATGATAACTCTTCATTTCAGGGACTCACTGTTTAGAGCAGCATGAATCACCAACCAATTAACAATTATTAACTATATCACTTTGAGTAGACAAATTATCATAAATTACGGACTAATTAAGCTGTGATTATACATTCGATAGTTATAAATCATTAATTTTTTTATTATCACATGAGTACGGTCCCTATTTAACAATGTGTCTATTAGCTGGAAATAACTTGTTCAATAATTTCTTTGAACTGTTTTTTTAGCTACACATTCATTATGAATAATCACTCTCTGAATAACAGCGTCTTTATCCATAGATATGTCAGTTTATTAAAACTAATTTAATTCATACTTAATGCTGTAGTTATTTGAGTTTTTTAATATACTGAAACAATGAGAAATTAGAACAATAATTTACGAGAGTGGTTTATGGATATTAAGAACCAACTGAACAGAATAACAAGCAGTTGTAGCAGATGGATTCACAATATACAGTACAATACACACTTTATTAATACAAAACCTAAAACATGCATGACAAACCAATAAGACTAATTATACAGGTACATATTTTAATCAAACTGTCATGATACAAATGCTGTTCAGTCTTAGTCATTATCGTCTCCCTTGCTGTGAGGAACCATGTTGGACAATTCGCCATTCGGGAGGGTAAGCGTGGACAATATTTATGACATACTGTACTAGTCAGTGTTATAGACTTGGGATATGCTGTTTATCAGAGAGGCCCCTTTAGCTGCATTCCTAGTACTTTACACAGAGGTTCAAGCTGCTGGGATTATTGTATGGTCAAGGCAACAGAAATATTATTACTCTAAAACCTGATAGCACTTAAATTTTTGTGTAATCAAATGCCTGGTTGCTTCACTGCATGCCTTCACACAGCATGAGTGCATAAGGGTTTTTATGAGAGGAACTACTGTAAATAGCTCGGTCTTTTTGGTTGCTAAGTGTGATTATGTGCCTCTTGTTCTTAGTGCTTTGAGTAACTTCAAAGTCATAGTGTGGACTGATCACCATTCATATCTAATATTGTAAATATTTAATATAATCAACTTTTAGTTTTTTCGTTTTGCTTTCTGTTTCTTCCAGTTCAAGAAAATTAATATATCTTTACCCATCAAAACATGACAGGTCTGTCAATTAATTACCCTAAATAGAATGGGAAAGTCAATTGGTATGATCCTGGATGACACATGAACAAGACTTGGGGATTTGTTGAACTACAACACACTCTTGAATTAACTTCAGACTGCATATTAAACATTAGGAGCTGTATGTGTCATTAATGACTACACAAGTATTTTTATAGGAAAGGCAAATGAGAACAACAATACATCTTATTCTGGGTTTTTTACCACTACTGGTGGATGTTTCTTTCCTTGAAGTTTAATTCTGTACATGTATTCTTATAGAACATCTAGATTTGTGAGCTATCATAGTGCTTTTTTAGACCTTTTGTTCTCTACTGTTTTCTAACAAGGCCTCTCCAGAGAACAGAAGCTTCATAGGTAAAATCTTTGACAGGTCAGGTAAATGGGTAAACAGAGAATCATCCATATTTCAGGCTCTCAACAGAACAGATATGATGTACCTATGAGGCAGGTTATGAAATATTAACAAGAGAAAAGTTCAAGCTTTTTTTACCAGAGGTCTTGTAAAACTATCTTGTTAACTGCAGTACATGTGTTAGTGTTTACTTGTGCTCACCTAGGAGACTTATTGTTTTAAAAATATAGCCTGGGAAAAGGACGGCTGATGGCTTGTCACTCCTCCTCTTTCAGAGCCATTTGACTTCATTAGACTAGCCGTGGCTTGATTTTGCACAGGGAAAAGACATTCAATGCACAGCTACTTTAAGAGATGGGTTGAAAGGTGTTTCTTAATTGACAGCCCCAATAAACATAAAGAGATGTGCTGTAGAGAACTTCATCATCCACCTGTTAAAGCTGTTGAAACTCTATTTTTTTTTCATTATTCCAAGAGCTGAAGCAAATATCAGATCTGTTATTTCTAATGTTGGACAGTTACAGTTTTATGCTTTGTAGAGAGGTGAGTGGTAATAAAAGAGTAAAAAGAGAGTAAAAAGAGTAAACCACGATTATGTTACAGCTATTCCAAAGACACCCCTCAGGAACTGTCAGGGTAATTTGATGAACGTCACCTATTTAAGCGGAAAAAGTAACCCAGTCATATTTACTCCTGGTCTTGGAAGGCTACGAGTCCGAAAGTGTCATAAGGAACTGAAACCATTCAAGAAAAACCTGTAAACAGTGGTTGTTTGTCAGTTCAGTTAATATCTTACATAATTTAATAGGTATATAAGACCTAGAGAGAGGAGGAGTGTATTAGCCACTATATTATTGTGAAACTATATAATAATTATGATTATGATTAACAAAACATTAATTAATTAAATATTAAGACATCACGACATTCATATCAATAAATAAAATCTATTTTCGACTGAAAATTATATTTAACAAAAAGGTGACCTCTTTGTATCACAGGCTTTGTTTGGGCGCTGGAGCATCCTGGTAGTCTTCTGGTTATGTGATGACCACTTGAATATGCTAGTCATCATGGCATCATTCGTGCATCATTCATGGTTCCCCTCGGGACACAAACTGAACCACCTTGAACATACAGAAGGAAAACCATTCACTGCAGTATTTTTCTTTTTCATATTTTCTGAATTGCTTGGAATGATGAGATGTTGGAATTCATGATTGTTTGTCCCTCTGTGGAAGTTTCCTGCTTGTTACAGTGCAACTCTGGGAAAGTTTGAACATGCACAACATTGAATATACCATTAGAAATGAGGGACCAGAATGTTTCTGGATATTTTTAAAGATGTTTTACCACAAAGCTGCTCATGAAGGAATAGAAAAATAAGGTTTCTACAAACTCAAACAGTAATAGCTTCAGGGCAGCTCACTACCACCACCTCTCAGCTAGTCAAACAACTATAACTAATATAATAATATAAGAATTAATCAGAAGGAACCCACTTCTCTTCCTATTGGTAACACCCAACTCTATGGCTCTCTTATTAGAAGGTTGGATCCTACTGCCAATCTCTTTTCAGTATTATGTTATATACTGCACACACACTAGCTGCTACGCATAAAGTTTATAACTAGTCTGCAATGAAGTGGCAGATCTGCTCTTTTTATACTTGTCCCCTATCCAAGCTGCAATGTATCAGTCATTGCCAAATAAAATCTTCCACATCAATATCCCAACAACAATCAGCTCAAGTATCTATTCAATACTACTTGATTTATCTAAATTGCAAATGTCTTTAAACTGATCATCCTCACAGTGTACTGTATATACACATAATGTATGCTTGTGCATATTAGGAAACAAGACTGAATTACTGAAGAATTAAAATTATTACTAATAGTAACATGATTATCAATATGTTTAAATAACAGTTATTGAGAAAACTGCAACCTACAAAATTGTTATCAGACTTGCACTTTTAATTGTGTTTGCTGTAAAGTTACTTTTCAAAGCTTGTGATTTTTAAAGACCTGTCAGCTTTACAACCCACGACTGAACTTGACAACTTCTGCTAAATGGGTGAGCTTGTCTTTCAAACTGTAGCTGCAAACAAGGTGCAGATAAGTAGACTTGCCCTTTGTACTCTCTTCATAGTTGCTGTTGACAACAATAATGGGTTCTGGGCTTTGCAGTGTGGAGACTGCCAACAGGCTGCGCTGCTCTGGGGGCTGACTTGTCATGTGAGGAATCTTCAGTGACTCCCATCAGCCCTTGACTCCACACAAGTGCCAATTG